CACTTTGAGGAGCGGGACTCTAAGAGACCTGTATCCTTGGAGTTCTCCTGCGTGGCTCAAGAACCATGCTCCCCTGTGTCTCAGCATCCCCTCGCCGCGTATGAAAGTCTCACTGTCTAGGTGTGTGTCTTTTTGAAGTCGGCTATTAACAGCCATGTTTTTCCTTTTTTAAAAAACAGCAAAACACCGAATTGCTCATAAACCTCACTCCAAACCCAAAACTTCAGATATTTTCGAAGCAGATTTTGCAAATGATGTCAAGTCCAAGGATTCACTTGCTGATAAGGACCTGTGGGCTCGACTTGAGGAACTGGAAAGACAAGAACAATTGCTGGGCGAACTCGATAGGTACCTGATGACAGATGACCCTTCCAAGGGGATCTGTTTCCATATACGTTTCCTGCTCATCTTTCTCCTCATTCATTAATAATGTGTGCTCATTGAAGAAAATGCGGAAAAGCGTAATATGTTAAAATATCAATAATCCTGCCACCCTAAAATAAATGTTACTTCTCTAGAGTATTTCCTTTTAGGGCTGTGTTCACGCACATACCCACACATGGTGTGTATGGGAATGCTTAAAATCAATATCCCTATTATTTTAATGATAAGATTTCAGCCATACTTTATACAGTGAAATATTAAGACAAACCAGTAGTTGACTTATAATAATTATGGATGTTTTATAGATTACATTTTAAATGAAGTATTTTTATATTATAATCAGGGTAATGATGTGTGTTTGAATACCTTGTTAAAAAGAAAATTTTGTTTCGAGTTTGTCACTGCTTTGATTTAAGTTTGTCACTGTAAAATGTTTATTCTTGCTTTCCTTTGCAAACTTTTCTGTTTTTTTGAGCAGGCAGTTTGTAATCTGGTCAGGTAGTTATATATATGGAAAACTTTACCAAATTGCTGTTTGAAATACACATTAGCACTCACTTAGAATTGTCAGAGCGCTCAGTGAAATCTGTTATTACAGAGGTTCCTACGTTATTTTGCTTAAATGATGTACCATATGCAGTAATTAGTTTCTGTGAAAATAGGACATGGAGCACAAAAGATATTTTTTCTACCATTTCACCTATAAATTCTTAGGTCTTTTTGTGATACAATTTCATTTTTTAAAATTAGTTTTGAATCTCGTGATTTTTCTTGCTCATGATTCTCTTTTTTTACACGATGTTACTGCATTTTGGGTTTCGTTATTTTTAAAAGGTCCACAAATCCTTTGTCGAATGGAGCATGAAAAATGTGCGTGTGTGTGTGCATATAAATATAATTATATTTGTGTGTGTGTAAACCTTTTATTTTGTTAAAATTATGGTAATGCATGCTTATAAAATGTTCAGAGCATAGACATAGAAAATGGGGATGCGCTAATGTTCTGTGGCTTTAATGTCTGATCTTTAATGTCCGATCTTTAAGTAGAGTTACGTATTCTTCATGGATTTCTTACACATTTCTGACAGTATTATTTATATTGTACTTATATTTTCTATGGTCAGTATCCTCCTTTTAAAGATAAAATATCACCTATGTTCTACTTATGTTTGAATAACTGTAATATGCAGAATTAACATAAGAACTGATGTTTTCCTGTTTATTTTAGAACATTTTTATTAATCTAGAATTCTAGTTAAACATCTATTTCAAATTTTAATTTTTATCCATTGAAATGAACAAAATTAGAATATATAAAATTCTAGTGTGTTCCATCTGAATTTTCTTTTCTTTTCTTTTTTGTTTTTTTTACCAGTAAGCCTGATACTGTGATTGCAAATGGGGAAGAGACAACATCTTCTGAAGAGGAGAGGGAAGATCAGAACATAAGTGTGGATGTGGCACCTCAAGGAACAGACTCTGTTACTCTCAGCAGTTGCCGTGTGGCCGATACGCGTTCCGGACTGCTCAGTGGTCACATGCATGGTCAGCTGACCTGTTCAATGAATGGCTCAAACTCTTATCATAGTGATGAAGACGACGATGACGATGGTGGCGATGGTGATGATGGAAATGAAAATGTCCATGATGCTGTGGGGGCTGGAGATGATTCTGTACCAACAATATATTTTTCTCATACTGTCGAACCCAAGAGGGTTTGTATACTTTTAACTTTACTAATTTTGCATATAATTTGAACACTAAACATCATCTACGATATTCTCTTTAAAAGAACAGTATTAACAGTAGTTAATAGCACCAGGCAGGAAAACCATCTTTTGCCTCTTGTTCTGACCAACTTGTCTACAAAGAAAAAGGAGAAGAGAGAAGTCTAGATAGCTGTTATTGGGCCGTCGTTCGCTGAGGCTACAATAGGGTTTGAGTTGTTGGGGTCTGGAAGGGGATCAGATGTGAGTGGCAGCTACTGTAACTCCACCTGTCTTTCATTCAGAGAGTTTTCTTAAGAATTCTAGAGTTAATTAATATTGTGGGCATTTTGGTGTATTTAGGATGTTTGAAAGTGACTGCATTAGTTAAATTTTTAATTATACCAGGTTGTTGTTCTCTGCGTGGGCATAAAGTGAATAGGAGCATCACGAGCAAAAAGGAAAATTTTAGGAGGAAGTAAAAATTAGCTCCTTTTCTGGCAAAGTAAATGTAAACATCTGTGGGTAATCATGACTTTAGAATTTTGGTGTTTCGGAGCTGGCGTCGCTGTAGACATCTTCCAGTGCGGGGTTTGAAGCCTTGCTTTAATATCAAAAGACGTTTTGTTCCCTCCCGTGCATATTGTAGGATGTCAGTATTTGAAATTGATTGAAGCGGGTCGCCTCTGGTTGAAGGAAGGATGTAGGCTTCCTTAACCCTATCCCCTGACCTCGCTCGGCTCCATAGTGCTGTTCCACGAGCCACCAGGCGTCGTCTCATTTTCTTTCTCAAGGAAACTTGAGGCCAGGAGACCACGGAGCTGGTTACTAATAAAACGGGGACTCCTCTATCTCAGTTCCGTGCTCCTCACCACCAGGCGCCCCTGCAGGCATCGCTCGAGTCAGCCCTAAGTGCCTGTGATGGTTGTTTAATGAAACATGTTTAAAACATATTCGGTATTTCTCACGTTCCGTAAGTTATCCTTGCTGTACTATGAAGTGAAATAATTGTGGGTTTTTTTTGATAGTCTAAGACTTTAGACTAAAGGGAGCATCTCATGAATTCTTTTGAAAAAAATTGATTAGCTAGAAAAAAAGTTTGTTTTGTGATTCTTTGTTCAGGCTTAAATTTTTTTCTTATTTTCAATTAGATTAAACAGAAGAATAAATAATATTCACAGGGATATTATGGGGAAGAGCAGTCATTAACGTGGAAAGTGCGGTATAAATGCCGAGGAGGGACATAGAATAATATATTAATCCCGAACAGGACTGGTTTTTATTTTTTAGTTTGATTTCTAAAAATTAGAGGTATTTAAAATTTTAAATAGGTAAGCATTACCTAATACTGCTTTTATGACTAAGTTTTATGTTTTTACAGAATATTTCTTTTGGTTAACTGTGCTCTTTGTTTTGAGATGCATGATTTAAGCCAAAAATTTACATCAAAGTAATGGGGCGCTGCGAAAGCGCATCATAAATGCAGCGTTTAGTTTGGATGCACAGTCGATGCTCAGACAGCGCGGGGTCGGGCGCACCGATGCTGCACAGTAGGAAATCCACGTGTAACTTTGACTCTCCCAGAACTTGACCACTGACAGGCAGCCCGCTGTTGACCAGAGGCCTTTCTGACCCCTTAAGCAGTTGATTGACACATCTTTTGTACCCTATAAGTATTATATACTGTATTCTTACAACTAAGTCAGCTAGAGAAAAAAGGCTATTGAGACAGTCCTAAGGAAGAGGAAGCACGTTGACGGCACCGTGCGTGTTTATCGGCGCTGTGGGCTTACGTCGTCTACCTCCCAGACAACCCGACCGTCAGTGCGTGCGTCGGCACTGTCCTGTACGATACAGAGCACTGTAGACGTTACGTGCAGTGCTGACGCTAGACATCAGAAAGGAAAAGGTTTGTGAAAAAACTTCATATTTACTGTCACATGAATCGCTACAGGTGTAACGATTCACATATCGATAATGAGGAAGTAGTGTGACTGCTGTCTGGTAGCCTCGTGTACTCGGCACGGTTGCTTCACGGTCAGGAACTCTCCAGAAAGTTTTCCAGTATATTGATTGAAAAAAATCGTCACGTGAGAGAACCTGCGTAGTTCAAACCAGTGATGTTCGAGGGTCACTGTATTTTGCCTTCTATGTACTGATAAAGTCACCGAAGACTAGAATTGGCCCTTAAAGACGTAATTTAATGCTGTGAAAGTCTGTCAAGGACTTCTAACCCTGTCTGATACTGCATGCCGTTTTGGTGTCAGAAAATTTAAACTGCCTCTCTTACTGTTATTTCTTTAACTACGGAGTTTATTGGTTTTTACCTTTGGTCTTGATTTAACTTCTCAAAAGGATTCTAATTTTTTTGCTGTGAAAATTTTAGGTCCGAATAAATACTGGAAAAAATACCACTTTAAAATTCAGTGAAAAGAAAGAAGAAGCCAAACGGAAGCGGAAGAGCAGTGGCGGCGGGGGACACTGGGCCCAGGAGCTGCCCACGATCCGGACGCCTGCCGACGTTTACAGGTAGGCCGGCCCCACCCGCCCTTGAGCCCGACCCCGAACCCGAACCCGTACAGGAGAAGTGTCCCACTCAGAGGCTGCCCTCAGCAGTGACTGGCCCGGTGGTGGCCTGCCGCGTTTACAGGCTCCCGCGGCTTCCCGTCCAGAGCAGGCTGCGTGCCGCGCGCGTGCTTTCTCCCGGCTGTGCTTGTCCACTGGGGCTTTTAAAACATTCCCCATCGATCTAGTCAAAAAATGTCAGAAATGGAGGTGTGTGTTTCTGGTGGGCGGGGGCGGCACCTTCTCACTCCAGCTGTGACAGGCTGGGCGGGTTCACGAGTGGAAGTGAAATACGCAGCCTGCGCTTTGGCTGTGCTGCTAGCCGAGGAAGCGTCACTCGAAGATGCCGCCGTTCTCATGACCCGTGTTTGTGACGTAGTGAATTGAAATTCGCTGTCTTCCAAGTAGGTCTAAGCTGTGGGGAGTGTTTGGACAAATCAAGCTGTCGTCACCCAGAGCATGTTTATGAATAAAGTGCTCCATTTTATTAGGCCAACAAATTGTGTTTTAAAAATAATATAAAATATAGCATGTCAGGCTACAAAATTATTTTGAATGTGAAAATGCCGACAGAACATTTCAGATTAATTTCTAGAAGAGATTTTAAAAATTATTATAAACGTCCCCTCCGTATAAGAGCTCCCTAACATGAGTGTGTGCTTCGCGGGTGTCGCAGAGTCTTTGTGGACGTCGTGAACGGGGAGTACATCCCTCGGAAGTCGATCCTGAAGTCTCGCAGCAGAGAGGACAGTGTCTGCAGTGACACCAGTGAGAGCAGTGCCGCTGACTTCGATGACAGACGTGGGCTTTCAAGGAGCATTAGCTGTGACGAGGCCACTTGTAGTGACACCAGTGAGAGCATTTTGGAAGAGGAACAGCACGAAAACCATCAAAAGAAGCTACCACCCGTAACAGGGTCGCCTGAGGTGCGCGTGCGCCTTTGCCTCTCCCCTTCCTGCAGTGTCTCGGACAAACATTTGTGCGCCGAAAGGCGTAGTAGCTTATTTCAGAGGGGCCTGTCGTTCACTCTCCCTGCTTTACCCAGTTATTTTTGGAGTTGCAAAGGTATTTATTTTTAAAAGTGCAGCTGCTGTACCTCTCAGGTATGGTCTATTAACCATTAATTTTATTGTCTTTAAATGATTTTATTTTATATATTTTATTTATCGAAGTTAAACAACTGGGTAATGGCATTGTTTATCTCGTAGCTGTTCCTTATACACATATTTATTCTCAAAAGTTACAGGACCTAATTCCAGGCTCGTACTTTTTTGATAATAATTTTTAAAGACTAAGTGATACATTCTCTTGACTGATTTTGTACGCTTGGTGTACACAGGTAAGCAAAATATGCGTGAAAGTTTACATATCATATTTTAGTTAGAAGATGAAAGGGGGAGGCTCCAAATATTAGAAATCTTTTAAAATATCTTTAAAAAAATCATAACAGTTCTTTGGTTTTTATAGATCTTTATGTGAAAAGCTATGGAAAGGTATATCTTTGGTTCTAGTTCCAGCATTTTGTCCACATTACTTTTGTTCCAATGGAACATGCAGTTGACCAAATAAATCTAACAAACATCCACTTGAAATTAAAGAATGATTTTTGTGGAACCTTTGATTTCTGTCCTTGAATTAATTGTATTAAATTTTGAGACCAACGTTTATTTGCACGAGTATCAGCACTTTAATTTTTCATTTCCACTCACCTCAAATAAAATTCAGCCAAGATGCAATGAAATACTCAAATAATTGCATAAGTGGACACCACCTAAGAGACGTCACTACTGCTGGAACTCAGCTGTAGGCTGGCAGGCAGCCTGGCCGCCTCAGGATACCTCATGTCCCGGCTGGTGTATGGCGCCCTAGTAGCAATTTTTATTTTGTTACTTTATTTTTTACAGCCTCGGCTGGACCTAAATGTATGAAAGTTGAGGACCTTTTATTTACCCGTTTTTCGTTTTAATTCTGGATGAAACGTGTATTTTCCATTTTGTTTTCTTGTGTGTATGCTATAAAAACTGACATATTTGGTGGTGTAATTAAGATATATTTTAGTGGTCTCTGATTTCTCTGAACAGTTTGTATTTTGATGTTATAGTTTTGTCTTTTTATCCCAAAGTCTTACGAATTTACTTTTAATGAAAACAAATGTATAATTGACAAATACAGGATAAAGATTTGGCGGGCATCTGATTTGCATTTCATTACCATAATCTGACTTTTGTGTTCTAGGCTTTCTTTGGAACCGTAATAGAAAAAGAACTTTTGTCGCCCTCCTTCCCACCTCACCCAGCCGTGGCTCACCCTGTGCTCTCCACCATCCCGGAACGAAAAGAGGTCCCGTCAGGAGTGTCGGGAGTATCGGAGGACGCTGCAAAGAGGGTTTCAAAGTTCAAAGCTGCCAGATTGCAGCAGAAAAACTAGCCCTGCCTAGGAGATGGGAGTTTACGTCCTCAAACCTAGTTCTGCATTCGTTTAGAATACATAGAGCAACAAAAGTTCCGTGCCGTTGGAAATAAGGCATCCTGAGTTAATGGGGCAAGAGGTTCTCTCACTCTTATCACAAGAAAAAGGAAAGTAAACGTTTGAAGACTTTCGTAATCATCTTGTTTTGTTAATTCTCTGAATGCTGTCAGTCCTCTTGTCTAAGTTTGCCTTACGATGCAGTGGCGGCTTTTCGAATTATTTTTCAAAGAATACTGTTCATATGCATTGTTTTTGTGTTTCAAACTAAATACAGGCAGTTTTGTACCAGCTGTGATGTTGTGCATACCATATGGACCATTTTAAGAAACTTTTAAAATTTCAAATAGATTCAACAGTTATATTACTTGCTTTAGCATTTTAAAGGCACTTTAAAAAAAAATCTACTTCTCGTAGGTTTTGCAGCTAGGTGGCTATTTAAAAAAACTCTCCCCCTTGACCGTCATTCTGTAATCTCTAAGGCAGAAAGCTACATGTACCGGATGGGAACGTTTCTTTGATAGGAAGGATGGTTATTTTGTAAAACTTTTTTTTTTTCCAAGTAAAATTTTATGAAACTTGGTCTCTAAAAATGTCGTGAACTTTCTGATTTAGTAGTACAGAGATGTCTTTGATTCATGTTTATGCTCCATGCACCACACAGTGGGTCCTTGAATTCTTACAATTCCAGTGTGTGCACTTTTAACTGGCATCATGTTTTCGTGGAGAGGAAAGGTTGTCTAGATGCTAAAAAAGAAAAAGAAAAGATTTTTAAAGTAAGAAATTTTATGTTTTAATTGTCTCAACATTTTCATTCTCTAAGGCTACTTTCCTTGTAGTAAATAATTGAAATAACATATTTACTTTTAGCAAGACTCCCTAAAATACAGAAATTTATTCTAACATGGAAAATTACACTGCAAGTGTTAATCATTAGCTTGATGCATGCTAAAATGTAGCTTTTAAAAAGCATTCTGCATTAGTACTAAAATAAGCCATCAATGCCAGTCCACCCTCTATTCATGGCTAAATATTTAAAGGTTATTTATAGCTTCTTTAATGAATTCTTGCTTAAACAAAGTGAAATTATGTCCTAGAAAAGTAGAAGCTATTTGTAACTAGAACAGCACAACTGTAAAAGTATTATGAATATGTATTTTAATAATAAGGGAATGGGCCTGAATCCCCACAAATTAATGGGTAATTCAGAACAGAGGATTGATTTTGAAAGATCGCCCAAAAATGTGGGAGATTTGTTCTTTAGTAAGTTTTGATCAACTGTGCAAACATTTTTAGTTAAAAACTGTTTGTCTCTCAGCGCCCCCTCCTCCATTCCCCACAAAAAAAACCAAACCAAACCGACTAGAGTCACGTGCACACGAGGCGCTCCCAATTCCACGGCTGCTCACGCGCGCCCGCCCGTGTGTCGCCCCCCGCACGCACACGCCGCAGAGTGCGTGGCGCTCACACGCCTGTGATTTCAAGAACACTGGCGGGTAACTCTCCGTGTTCACGAGCGTCATCTCGAGCCTGCTGTCGCGCCTGTCATCTGTCACTTCTTGCAAATAGATGCTCCCTCATAGGACGAGGCGGTGGTGGGAGCAAAGAAAAGGCGTGTGACGGAGACGCTTCTGTGTTCTGCCGGAGGCCGGATGACGGCGCGGCCCCGGTGCGTAGCCACCGTCTAGTGACAGGTGCACTCTGCAACTTGTCTTAGCTTCAGTCTTCATGTTAAATTCAGATTTCAGTGGCGTAAGCTGAAGCTGCTGTTAAGTGTTCTCTTTCAAACCACTGCCGAGCAGAACAGCAGATGGAAAGAACCCTTTATTCTGAACTAATTTTAGACCAACAGAAACGGCGCAGAAGTGCAGAGCTCCCAGACACCTGCCCCTCCCCACTTCCCTAACGTCGCAGTGTCCCGTGTGACCGTGACATGTTTGTAAACGCTGGGCTGACCCCACCGCACGTCTTACGTGGATTCACCAGCCTTCTCGCTCGGTGTTCTTTCCTGTTACACGGCACTGTGGCAGGACGCCGCCTTGCCTCTGACAGCTCCTCCATTTTTCCTGGTCTTTCGTAACTTTGTCATTTTTCGAGCGTCCCGGGCAGGTGTTTTGCAGGATCCTCCTCAGCTCCGGTGTGTCGGAGGTAGTCACGTGGTTAGAATGAGGCGTTGCTTTTTTGGCAAGAATAGCACAGAAATGTGTCATCGAGAGGTTCATGGCAGAGTTGCATCCTGGCGTGTCCTTTAAGAGGGCCACGGTTTCCCTGTGCTCACCTGCCCCCCGGCCCGGGGCACCGCCTGCCAGCTGTCTCCGTTACCAGGCTGCTGTCTTTTCCTTCGTGCTTAGTAAGTGTCTCGGAAGAGGTGCTTTGAGATTGGGCAGATACTCTTTTCCTCCTCAAATTTGAGCCCACTGATTTTTGCACTGAGGGGGGTCTTGTCTGTAGCAGTTGGTGCTGTGGTGCTTGCCGAATGCTGATCCTCTGTTCTGCCTTGTTCTCCTACGTTTCTTTCGTGTATTGGAAAGCTGTGCCAGCCTCCCGCCCTCACTAATGCATTCGGTTGTTCAGATCAGAACGGGCTAGGATACTTATTTTGTTCTGTGGGTCACAATGGAGTATCCTCATTTCGTCAGCTCGGATCGTTCTGCCTTTGACGGCGAGGACCCGCGTCAAGCTGGCCCCTGAGTTCTTTCAGCCTTTTCCGATGCCACAAAATGCTTCAGGCTTCTCTCTTTCCGCCCTGGCCTCGGAATCATCCGTTTCTCCAAGAAGCCTTTATTCCTTTCATCGGAGAATGGTGCTTAAAATTCAGCATCTTCTCCCGTGGGCGCGTGCCTTGCCATTGAGACGTCATTGCTTCTGGGTCCTTCCAGAGGACAGGGCCAGGAAATGAGGCGCGCCGGCCGGTGCGTGTGTCCGTGCTCACGTCCTGGTCTGCTGTGCACGCGATTGAAAGACGCGCATTCACACCGATACTCTGGATCCTGACCTAACGCCGCAGGGTTTATTTCAGTTTTTCTTTATTTGTGACTTTTCACCAGCAGCGAAACCTGGTCTTTATCATCTACAATGTATTTACTTTGAAAACAATCTAGTAGACACGTAAAAGTCCAGCGTGTTAACCCTGACCGCCGGAGAAGCACGTTTATCAACGAGACTGCGCTGTTTGCCTTCGCCCTGCGTGCGGGGAGGCCGCTGTCCGCCAGGGGGGTCCCCTTCGTCTGATCGGTGCTCGTTCGTAACAGTGAGTTTCACTCGTTACTGTCTGTGTCCCCTCTGCGGTTCGCTCCACATCCTGGTTTGGTTTTCATGGTTAATTTTGGGAGAAATGGGGAGCAGTGTGGTTCTAAGCATCACAGCTGTGTAAAGAGAGACACAGCGTCACCACGGCCACCCGCTCCGTTCCCATCTCTGTCGCCGTGACAGCCTCTGTTTCTTGTTCTTCGTGGCCTCGCTGGTTTTGAAGGCCGTCGGCAGGTAGTCCTGTGGGGGGCCTTCGCTTTGGGTTTGCCCACTGTTTTCTGTGTTTAGTCTGAGTCACGTGTCTGGGGCTGGCGTCACAGCGGCGAGGTGTCACACCACACCGAGACGTTGCTCTCGATTCCTTCACTAAGTTGTGGGGCGGCTTCCCCTGAAACCAGTCTTACTTTGCTCAGATTCCTTCTCGTGCTGGGGTTCTAAAACTGTCTTGAGAGAGAAGGCCGGGGTGGTCAGAGAGTGCCCTCGGTCATTTCCTTTTGCTCAGGGTCCTCAGTCTCGTACTGCTGTCCTAGTGTCCGGAAACCCTGTGCCACGTGTCTGTGCAGGTCCCCAGCCGTCCGTCCGTCCGTCCGTGGTCGGCGGGCCAGCGCTGTCCCAATCCGCCCCTTCCAGACTGGCATCACGCATCCTTGGCGGGGCCCTTTTACGTTCGGTGCCTCGATGGGCTGTTGTGGGTGACTTTGTGCTGTGCGGCCCCTCACAGCTCCCCGCGTGAGGCCCGCCCCTCCGCACTCCCGGGGGCCCCACCGGGACGTGGGCAGGAGCGAGCAAGCTCCGTTGCCGCTGTCTTTTGATAGCGGGGCGTCTTCCTCGAGCCTGCCGTCATTTCGCGGTGGCCGTGGCCCTTCATGGACCCCGTCTCACGGCCGGCTGAGCCCGGGCCTGGCCTCGCTCCTGGACTTTCAGACCGAACCCTGTCTGTAGCTGCCAGGACGGCAGTGACCTCACGCTAAGGGTTTAGCTCTTTTGTTCCTTTTTTAGCCTCCGATGGTTTCTGTTACTTTCTTGCAGTTGAGGTTCTGGATCTTAAAGCTGTTTGTCACTTGATCTACACAGACTTTCTAGCAGGAAGGCTGGCAGCAGCTCGTCTGCGGTGTTCTCGGTCACCTCTGTGCGAAGCGCTGTGCTGAGCCCTAGGTGGAGGTGACATGTTGCCTCAGTGACTTACCTTGGGAAGGCCACTCCGGTGTCTGGGTCAGAACACCACTGGAAGTGCTTTAGGACGTGTGCAGCGAGGGCTCAAACTTGGCGTTGCATGTCCTCTGAGGTACGAGAATCGGCAACGGCGTCATGTCCACGGGTCGTGTCGGGAGGCCGGGGACCAGCAGGTTTTCTGGGGGGACAGGTCCGGGTGTTCTCGCTGGGCACAGCTGATGGGAGTAGGGGCTCCTCGGGGCCCTTATGCTCTGTTCAGGTTTCGAGAACCCCAAGTCTGTTCAGGACGATGTGTGCTTTTGCAGACTAGAAATATCTTCTTGGGATCTAAGGGTTTTATTGTGGTTTTTTTTTTTGCCAATGCATATTTGGGGTCTTGGGAGCTAAATTGAAGGTCAGAGCAGGGCGCAGGGACCCGGCAAGTGGTCAGCGTGGTGAAAATTGGAGCGGAAGCAGAACTACTTTAGAGCCAGCTTTGGTTGCTAAGACGCAAAGCCGCGGGCAGGCCGGGCCCACCTGCCGTCGCAGAGGCTGCAGGCGTGAGTTTAATTTTCTGCAGTCACTGGATGTCCCTGGGTGAGCACTTGTTAGGGCTGAGGTGCACGCAAGTGATAGCACCAAGACCCTCTTCAGAAAAGTGAGGTTTGCGGAGGTCATCGGAGTGTAAAAGTGTGGAAATGCGGGGCCACTCGTGACCTCTGCGGGCTGTCCACGGGGCCTGGCCCCACGCTCTGTGTTTTTCACACTTAAGACTTGTATGTGTCACGTGTGTGCTTGTCGTGTATTCCAAATTTGGTCTCTGGCGGTCCTTTACGACGGGGCTAACTCTTGAAAGCTATGTCAGTATTTTAACTACATAAAAATTTTTGAAGAATTAGGAAAATTTTTTGGAAATGTGTTGATTTCTGCAAAGCAGGGAGATGAGTCATCGATAACGGTATCTAG